ACATAAATTAAATATTACCTCACCGGTATAACCTTGTTTAATATAGGATCAGAGCTTCGTGCTGATAACGTGTTGAATATTTATTATTAGATAAAGAAATATTTAATGTTGTGTGTGTAATTGAACGAGAGATGAGGAAATGAAAGTGTGTTTCTTCTTATTCATTATCAACATGGAGAGAGCTATATATAGGGGAGAAGAGTCGGCTAACATCAGATATTTATCCAACAAATATTAAATTAATGCTCAAAGGATAATCATCAACTTTTATCTAACAATATTGAATAATTTTTCACATTTATTTGCGTACACTAACCTTAAATTTCGTGTTCACAATAAAGGCTCTTTTAATGACTGCAAATAAAAAGGTTTAAAATTTCCTAAGATTGGCACGGCTTAAGAAAAGTAAAAAAGAAAAATGATCTTCTGAATCTGAGGGACACTTTGTAAAGCTTTGCAACCATCTTCATTTGTTATGTAGTTACAAAGAGGAGGTATAAGGTTCTTAACTGTATGTTAACCATAATAAGAGCAGCTTAAAACAATATTTCTGATATTTTCTGGCTAGAGAGAGATGCCTCGAAGATGCCTGTCAATCTGAGAAAACAGGGTAGTTGCAGTCAGCACAAGGGCATTATGAACTCTGTTATTTCTCTCATTCCACAGAAAGTGAAGTGTAGCTTGAATGGCCAGCTTTTGAAGAGGCTTTGCAGATCCTTTTCTTCAAACGTTCAGACCATCATAGACCGCCATGAATTGAACACCCGATGATTTACTCCAAGCCTTGGGAGAAAGAATGACCGATCCTCAACAGCATAAGCACAATTTATAATTAAATGGTCTCTGGTTTCGTCATGCAGAGAACAGAGAATGCAGTTTGTTGGAATATTCAGACCCCATTGTGCGCCAATCTTGTTCTAATAGGCAGTCTATTGAAACTGGCTACCAAAAAGTTGAACGAATGCTTTGGAACTCGATTCTTAAACCAGACCGCGAGTGAGAATATTTAGTCTTCCTGAACTCTGTAATCAGTTCCTTCAAAGCCTTATATTAACCTTCTCTGATTGTTCCTTTACAACAGAATATGTTGTTTTTCTCTGAGAAAGCTGATATCTCCGATCACCTCCCATACAACAACCATCAAATCAAAATTCTACACACATATACAGGTTTATCTTTAATCAACATGTTCAGCTTTTTTCTTTACGCTGAAAAGAAAAGGGAGGGTAAGACATCTTACAATAAACCCATTAGTCCAGATTGCTCCCTGCATATAACGGGAGAACAATGAGTTACGGAAAATCATGAATTTGCTTAACAAAGATGGAAGTATGGAATTCAATGAGTAGAAGAAAGGGAAAATCTAAGGAAGATAATAAGTCTTTGTTCTTCCATGCTTAAATCAAAGACCAGTGTTGAAACCTTTGGAAAGAGATGATTTATCATCTTCTCCTTGCTTATTCCGGAAAAGACAGTCGTTGAAAAAAACTGGCATGAGAAGATGATGTTCAAAGGAAGGATGTAACCTTTATATAGGTATAGGATAAACTCGCATTCTATGTCAGATTGTGCCTCAAGTTGGTCTTTGGAGTTAAGAAGACAATAAAGGTAATGGATCTGTAAGTCAGAGGTTTCAATTGATGAGAAGAGAAAATAGAACGACTTGATTAAAGATCAGTAAAGAGATTTTTCATGTCGATTTGAATCAATAAATACCTCGAAACTCCATTGACTGCGTCTGAGAACGGAGAAGAAGAGACTTTGGTGTCGGGGACGGAAGATGAGACCAAGCTCTAGAATCAGCGTTCAGTTCGCAAAGAAGATATGGGCTTTTTCATTGGGTTAAACTCTGTAACGAATCTGTAAAAGAAACCCATCGTTTGAAAGGAGGGACAGGTGTCGCTTTCTCCTTACCCGAATTGATGACCTGGCAGCCTGAGAAGGGAATGAACTGTACTTTATATATAAAGATATATTGTAGTTTCGTGCGGTATATCTCTTTTGATGTAAATTATTTCTGTGGTTGAATAATAGATTGTTTTCTCTTTATTTTTTTTTCTTGCTAATTCTTGAAGCCACAGTCTCTTAGTCCCATATACCTTCCTGGCAACTGGTTCACAAACCAACGGTGGTTGTGAGATAGCCGCCTGCTCTTTTATTTTGTTTTCTTTGCAATAGCCAAGTTAACAGCATTTCATGTCGTTCTTATCGTTCCTTTGCAACCGAGTGTTCTAGATCTAAGGCGGCAGAGGTGTTGCGATGGTCTCTGGCTATTTTAAAAAATACATACCAAATACATTTTACAATATTACTCTTAATTTTAAAAACTGTTAATTAGTTAAAGTTTCGTTTGTTAATTTTTGTGTGGTAAATAATTCAGGTGTGTATATTTTAATACTTTGCTCTTTAAATATAAATTTTAATACATGAAACAAATAATCACAGATGATAGCAAGCTTTCCCAAAAATTAATTACTTCATTAAACTATCTTTAATATTAGACATGTTATTTAGTTTATCTTATACATTTGGGAAAAAATAGAATTGTTAACAAAAATAAACCAAATCTACAAATCAACTCACTTTTCTAAGTGAATCTCATTTCTTACAACACAACAATTGGCTAAGCTCCCTATTGTTCATCCATAATAAAAACAGCAGAAAAGAAATATTAAATATTTAATTTTAAGTTAGCTTTAGTGGTGGAAGCATTTAAGTTAACTTTAATATAGTTTAATGCACAACTTGATATTTTTCTTACACATGAGCACATAGCTCTTCAGTCTTCACAGAGGGTCCACGTATGAAAAGAAAATTGTTCCAATGGAAGCATGAGACTTTTGGTGGGATTATGAGATCAAAGATGATGCTTTGATTTGCACTCGCATTTTTTCATTTCTTCTTGGCCTCACTTTTTCCTTGGCTCAACCATATTGGTTTTCCAGATGTATAGAAAGATGTAGTGACCACAGATCACTTTGTTACAGTTCATACGACTACTAAACTTAAAGTATTCCTAAAATCCGACTACAACACTATATCCCATTGGTTTCCTCGTTCAGGGGGAATATATCGGGTCACACTTGCTGCTGAATCTATAAAAATCCAGTCAATAGAGCCCATTGGAGACTTTAAAATCAATAAAATGTAAACTATGAATATCTATTAGCTAAAAGCTTAGGACTTCGGAAAATATTTTATCTAACCAGAAAGTACGAAGATTGCAAAGGAAACATTAACCATTATAACCAAAATGAAATAAACTGATCAAGACAGGAACAATAATATTCATAGCGTCGAAGCAAGTACACTTTGGTTTACCTTAAAGAATGGACTGTAGAAGTACCTCATATGCTTTGTCCCTATCATAACAAAGATTTTAGAGTCAGTAAGACAATAAGGGTATGTTAACTAATCAACATATGGGTCACTGAAGTATATTGATGTTCTGAAAGATACATTGCAACACAAAAGGAAATACATTCTTTAGTAGCTTATAACGACATACTCTATAAATGTGAACTCCGATTAACCTCCATTGCCAGTCTAAAATCAGCAATATAAATGCGTTTAGAGACACATATCTCTTGCATGAACCAACACCTCATAAATAAAGAAGACTTTCTTATTGTCAGAGGAAAAAGAGTTGTGAAATAAAAAAAACCTTTGAATTAAAAATTGTATGAGATAACGAAGCTGGAGACTCCTTGCCACTACCAAGTGGGATCAACTTTCTCTTCATGTAGTCTGGTTTCAATATCTGAACTGGATCTTAATATGAATAATAATGTGAAAAAGGTTTTCACTGATATTAGGAATAGCGAGGATGAGTCTGAAAGGGATTAAATCTAACCTTCTTTATACAAGTCGAGATCCCACTTGGATGAGCGATAAGGGTCATTGAAGGAGTGATCGTGGTTGACTCGATGCTACATGAAACGCTTATGAGGCGAAGAGCCGATAATGAAACAGGATGAATTGACATCGACCCAGAGAGTACTCACGAAGCCTCTCTCTCACAACCTTCTCAAAAACTCCATCGTTCGTAATCATAATTAGATTCGCAGGAGACGATGAATCCTAGCTCTCTAGTGGCTGCATGGCGGCTACACGTTAAGAAAACGAAGACGGCTAATGGGCCATGATTATGTATATTTCAGTCCAATAAATATGATGTAAAGCCTTAAAAATCCATTACAAAACCAAACATAAACTGGACACGTATCACTCTCAGCTTTATACAATTAGTGACGTGGCAGTATCAAAGTAGAGAAAACTCTACTTTATATAGATAGATAGATACATATATAATCATATATTTACACTATATTACTATATGTACCTAAAAGTAATCTTACATATGATACATTATATATTCTCTTTTATTAACTAGAATAATAAATAATATACAGTAAATAAATTACTATTGTGTAAACTAAAATTGATAAAGTTCAAATGATTGACTGTTCAACTTATCATATGAAATATTTAATTTTAATGACAATTGAGAAACAATAATTATAAGTTGAATTTTAGAAATGGGTTTTGATGTTAACACTGATGAAATGGTTTTATTGGTTTTTCTCAAATCCTGACGCAGTTTCTTTAACAAGTCACGGTTGGACCATGAGAAATTTTCACTGAAAATCATCACTGATATTGTTGATGCAGGTGAAGTTAAACCTTCGGCTACTTGAAATATCAGTGTGAATTTGACTTCTGCTGTAAGCTATATTACTGTAGCTAGCATTGTTGACCTTGAAAATAACAAACGACGTCCTGCAGGTCTATTGGGCTTAAGAACTGGCTACGTATCACCTTTGCAGTTGAGCTCGACCTCCTCATAAACGGATTTTCCAGGCGAACTTTGTAGACAGACACTCCCAGAAGCAGCCATGAGCATTATTAGTACTCTTTCTGTTATTCTCCCTAGCCATCAAATAAGATTTTGCTTCTAAATTACGATGTTGGAAACATTGTTGCAAGATATTCACTGTAATAACAAGGTTTAGTTATCTTTGCACACCAAAAATACAAACCGGTAATGCCAAGATGCAGCCAGGAGCCCCAATGTCCCATAACCATAAGATTCTCCTTGACTCCCAGAGAAACAAATTAGATTGAGCTCTCAAAGGCTTCGAAAATAATATTGTTGGCTTTTGTAATATTCATCATTGAAATAAGCTACAACCTTCAATTCTATTTGCCATAAATTATCTAACCGATAGTTCCAAAAAAAGCAGCCATGCCCATATGAGATATCTAGCATTCCACACAGCCAAAGCAAAATAGATTTTACTAAGGTTTCTAATATACTGTTGTCGGCCTTAAAATCCTAATCGGCTTGCAGTCTCAGTATCTCCTTTGCTGTTCTTAACCTGAAGTATGGCATGTCCGTCTGAAAAAGATAAAAATAAAGACAAAAAAAAAACATGTTATCTTCGCACATGTTTTCACTCAATTCTCATCTTTTCTAAAAGAACTGCTAGTGGATCATGTCCAGAAAGAAATGCAAATCTTGATAATATATATTTTTTTACCTGGCTAAACTGTAGCCCCAGTCCTCTACTGAAAAAATCTATGTACTTAAGCATAAACATCCCACAGTCGTACCTGGAAGATTAGCAAAAGAGGAGTACTATCAGATCTATAACTGCAAAACACAAACTGCTAAACAAAGCGGTTGCATTTAATCGCAGCTAATCATAATTCACAATGAACAAAATAAGCTGTAAACTGAAAATCACACTACCATCTGAAGAAGATGGTCTAACAGAAGCAGCCTAGGTAGTAAACTACGAAATAGCTTGATATATTATGTTAACCTGAACAGAACTCATATCAAGAAAGTATGGATTGTTCTACAAAGGAGGGTTTGCTAACAAGATAAGCTTCCATTCACTTGACTGATAAACGATAACATAGCAACACTAAGTACCCGTTCTGTTGTAGCGGAAGGTCTTTAACGCATTCCATGTCCCATGAGCCAACGTCAATGGTTTTCCCATTCTTGTCCTTCACTTCATCCACAAAGTACTTAGCCTAAACCAATTCAAGTTCCAGCATTACTTACAACTGTCACAGTATTGTATCTACGAAAAAGTAAATCGGTCTAAGTTTATGATCATGAAACTATACCACGGCAGTCAAAACTGTAGGATCAGATCCATTTAGTGAATCAAGATACAGGAATTTGCATTCCCTTTTGTTAATCACTGCAAGGGTCCAATGTACACCTCCATGGATAGGAACAAATATCTGCACAGGTTCAACATCAAAATGATCAGATGATATTTGTAAGATTTACAAAAAGGAAACCAAAAGCTTTAGGTTCTGCAAAAAGCTCACTATGTCACAGTCAATAAGATTATATCCGAGCCTTTTATGTCTCGTCCATCTCCTGACAGCTTTGTAATTGTAACTGGGTCTTGTTAGCTGAACAAATACATTTATAGGGAAATATACATAAGTCCGTGGAACATTCATAACCATTAACAACTGTCACAGACATTAATGGTGCGTACAGGCCATATAGACAACTGAATACCATGAGGAAAAAACTGACGTAAAAGAATACATTTGACTCAAAGGAAGAAAAAAACAAGTTAAGGTCAAACGAATGACAAAAAGTGAACCTTGACGTAAAAAAACGTATTGAAGAAATGACACTTGAAGTACTTTTGAGGATCTCTAGTTTCTCTTTCTTTCAGTAATTCGAGATAGAGATTGATGACCTACAAAAAGAACACCATGTATCATCAGTGCAACAAAAGGGGTTTAAGAAGATATGTAAGATTAGAAAACGGAGTAACCACATCGTCGTTAAGCCAAACACACGGTTTGAGGCATTGTAAAGTCTCTCCACGGATTTCAATGCCGGAGGTTTTATGCAAAACCAAGACTTTCATTCTGAGAGGGCAATACGATTAGTTAAATTCCTAAATATGTCAAATGACATGATGGAATCTTCAAAAAATACCTATTTCTCACAGAGAAGGCACTATTGACTTCAGCATTTTCCTCTTCTTTGAGCGGTATAAAAAGCTCCTGAGATACCTTCAACAAATCCACAACACAAGATTTAATAACAGAACACATGATAACCGTTCACAAAACTTGTCACTATGTATGTAGAATAACCGAAGACCAAACTGCTTTGTCGACAAAACTCAAACAAACCAATAACTTGTCACTTTGTAGAACAACCTAATACTCTCTAATTAGAAGTCATGATACTGAACCTGTACAGCCCATATACAACTGCATATGACTTCAAATTCTTAGTACAAATAGATACTACTACAGTTCTTTGCATAACCAACCATAAACAATTTGGACAGGAGAAGTCTGTTATTCAATCACAACACTGGAACAAGAAGAGTATAAATCACCTCAAAGCGTTTTTTCTTCAAACGAGGAGATCTGCGGATCAATGGAACTCTTAAGAAGTTCCCAATATTATCATTAGGAACACGCAAAGGAGAAGAATATTTCTTATCATCTTCATCCACTGGAGAAACTTGTTCAATACTTGAATCTTCATCAACCAAATCAATCAAGTCAGGTGATTTCAATATGGGTTCATTTGAATCAAACTTGTGACCGAGCAAATTGCTTGCTTCATGAGTAATCTCCACATTTGGACAGTAATCTCTAGGTCTTGAAGACTTCTTTTTTGAGACCGGAGCACGACGAACCAATGACCTGAATCTAAGAAATCCTCGAAATTTGGTGGCTGGGTATCTAGAAAGTGACGAAACGGACTTGTCCGAGAATCTGTCTTGACTCACGCTGAGCTTTCGTTTGGTCGCTGCATAAGCCATGGGAGATCGTGTAAGAGAGCAGATTAAAGTAGCCCTCTCAAACCCAAGCCGGTCTTCTTCTTCGCACAGAGACTAGGGTTAATGAGTCGCCAGCGTCAGGGGGCACAGAGCAGCCATTCTCAATTCGATCAAGTGTTACAACTGTCGCAAAGAGCCCCCATATTGGACAATGACTTATTGTTGTGTTCACCCACCAAATATTTGATATCTTTTGAAAAAAAAAAAAAAATCTTATTAAGTTATATTATATTTTTAAATAAAAAATAGAAAATAATAAATAATAATAATAATATTTAAAAAACAAAAATAATTCTTTAAGAAGATATTTTAACATTGTTAAAATGTCTTTTTAAAATAAAAAAAGATAAAAATAAAATGAAAACAGTAATAATTACAAAAATAACAAATTTAAAAAACTTCTTTTAATATATCTTTAAATGAAAAAAAATATTTTTACATTATATTATGTTTTTTATTTTTAAAAAACAGTATAATTGGTTAGTATTAAATTTTTGATATAATGTTTAAGATTTTTCTGAATCGTTTATGATTTACTCAAAATTTAGAGTTTGGAATTAGGGTTTAGTGCTTTATGTAAAAATATTTATTTTTAAAAAATATTTTCGTTGTTGAAAATATTATTATTTTATTTATTTTTGATATTTTTATTTTAAAAACATAATATAACGTAACAAGATTTTATTTTATTTTTTTTTAAATATCAAATATAAAATAACGCCATCATATTAGTTGGTGAACCTAGAGGATGAACTTAGAGGGTGAATCCAATAATAACTCAGGAAAAATTTTCTTACAGACCAAGAAAATTAATTTTGTACAATTTTGGACTCTAATATCCTTAAGTATTTTGAGAAAATAATAAAATAAATAGTTTTATGAACAAAAAAAAAATCAAAAAATAGTAACAAATGATGAAATACCTATATCAATTCACTGGTATTTTTTTCAAACTTAAAAATATTTAAATCATAGTTTCATATTTTGTTCTACAGATATTATAATTCAATTAGCCTCTGGTCTTTGATTCTTTTGTTAAAGCATCCGCTCGAGTATTCCTACTCCGAAAGATATGAGATAGGCTCACATCCTTGACATTCTCCTATAATTTTTGGAACACTTTGATCTTAGTCGTGAAAATCGGCCAATCTTCTGAGTTTGTCGTCATGTCCATTGGGTCCGAGCACTCCGTCTCAAACTGTATCGAAGTTATCCTCTAATCTTTCATACATGAGGTTGACCAAAGTAAACCTTCAATCTCAGCATGCAAACCTGAGAGGTCTTTCTGCATGTCTGTAATCCGAAGACTTCAGAACCCATTTGATTCTTTAATCTCCACTCTAAGCTACTGGCACTGCCATTATCGATCCATGACGCATCAATTTGACAGGTAGAGACTCATGGTATCCAAAGGGGTACTATCTCAACCTCTATAGAAGGAGAATTTTCATGATCTTCGTTTGTTATCTCCTTTCATTAGCATTACTTCAACATCCTGTCTTAAGAGACGCGTATCGGGAAAACGATTTTCCCATTAAAGATTTTTTCATTCCTCGCCTTACAAATGTACCAACAGATCTATGAAAAAGTATTAAATTGTGGGTTCAGAGGAGCCACCTCTTTTCTCTCCCAAAACAGAAAATTCATGTTTTGGTATATAAATGTACTCGGGAAATCACCTGAAAAGGATGGATAGTCCGATAAAACTCAAACGTGCAGGACTGGTGGAGATTCTAAAAGAAGATGATTAATCCAACTCTACTGGGCCAGCACATCTACGACAACTCCTATCGATTCCCAGATGTCTATAAGTGAGTCTCTCTACTGTCGTCACGCAGTCCGAGATAGCATGCCTCAAGAAATGTTTCATCTTTCTTGGAGCCTTTATCTTCCACACATGGTTTTGAAGGCTCGTGGTACTTGGTTTTAGAACCGCTTCATGTGTGAGATTCTTCTTGGTCGATTAGAGTAGGTTATAACTGGTCTTAACTGAGTACACTTCTAATTTTATGTAGTTCCGGACATATCCATCTAGAATAAGAGAGCGAGAAGGTTTTCTCCCAAGTGTCAAAGTGATATCTTCTAGATGAAAAATTCTAGTAAAAGTTGTATATCCCATTCTTTGATATCATTCATAATAAAGAACAAACACGAAGTTGAGATAATCTGTAATCAATGTGATTGGCAAGTCTAGGTGGTTAAGCCACTGACTCTATAACCCAAGACTTACTATATACTCTCGTGTTTCAACCCGTACCAAATGTTTTTCCGTAAACTCGAAATGAATAAAAATTTTACTGCCATGATACTAAGCCATCCATATGATGGTGAGTATGTTTGTCGATTTTTCAAAAAAAGATATATGGTTGTAGTATTTTTCTTTAAAAACACGTGTCCATACAAAATTAGGATAATAAATTAATCTCTGCAATTGTTGTACAAAAAGCGCTATATTGAAATCATAAAAATCTTCAAAACCTAATCTTTAAATTTTTAGGAATAAATATTTTGTTACATAATATCCAATGTAATTCTCTACTGTGGAGCTATATATTATCGCCTCTATCTCATATGATATATATAGTATCGATTTAATATTAGTAAATCAAATATAATATAAATATTTAAATAATATTTAATATTATTAAAATAAATATAAATATAAATTTAGTTATGATATTACGTTAGAAAATTAATTGTTTTAAAGATAATTATAAATTATCAGATAAATCATTAAAATTATTTATTAAAATTAATTGATTATAAAATTAATTTAAATTTAATATTATGGAGAATATGATAAATCAGTAAATCTATACTATTAAAGTAAAATACCTATTATGATTTTGCCATTATTTCTCTTTATTATTACATCATGCCATTACTTAGTTTTAAACATAATATCTAAATAAGAAATATTTCTAAATAATAGCTAACCAATTTATTCAGTCCTAACATATTTAGTTAAATTATTAAACAAATTTAGTCAAAACATTTGAAATAAATACATAAAATATAGTACGGTTCTGAATAATTTACAATTTTCTAAATTTTACTTCACTTAAGAAAAATAACCACAATGAATTTTACATATTTTATAATTATATAAAAATTTATAAATAAATTATATAAATTATAATATTTGTTATTGAAAAATATTTAAGTTAGAAATTAAGCACGGGTCAAAATTAGTTCATTTCAAGTATTATACTGCCGAAGTTGGGAAACGCTACCATTGACTTCATAATCTGAGGAACAGCCACGTTAGAGAACAAAATCAACAATTGCCATGCAACCTTGTGTTGTGTTGTCCCAGTCCCACCACGTGTCTCTCTGCTGCTCCTGCCTTTAACTAGAGAGGTTTTGCAGCTCTTTTGCTGAATTTGCGATGACAGCTTAATTTTGCTTATCCTCGGTCATATCGCCTAATCAGGTTCGAGTCTTTTGTTTTCTTTCTTGAAAATTTGATGTTTACATACAAAATAAAATAAAATTCTTAGTTAAGTGTTTTTATTAGTCAACGATGCTAATTTTATCTTTTAGTCTGATGCATATACAGATGAATAACGAACACGGGTTAAGAAAGTACTTTTGATGATATTTTCTTGTTTCTGCCTAGAAGCATATTTTGTTCCTACATTTTAAATGCAATGGCAGTGAATGTTACTAATTTCAGCAGTGTTCGGAAGCAAGAATGGGTTGGATTTGGAGGAAAAGGGTAAGTTTGGGAAAGACGATTCTTGCAGCAGTTCTTGTCATGTTTTCCGCACCATTCCTGGTTCCTCCACTCATTGTTGCTTCCACGATCGCCTTGATCTCGTCCCTTCCCTATTTTTTTCTCTTAGCTAGCTATGTTTGTACTGAAAAGCTGATGAGAAAACTGCTTCCTGCTATTGCTTTTGGTGATAAAATGGTGCTACTCCACGACAAGGTTGGTCACGGTGATATATATGATGATGGCATGCCACGAGTGGCTATGAGTGAGACGTTTTTTGTGCAGTCTGTGGAAGAGGGGACTGCTGCAAGTTCTGTCAAAGAAGGTGACAATGACATAACACCCTTGAGAGTGACTAACATTATGTGTGATGTGTATCAAACCCCTGAGGATATCAGAAAAGAGTCAAAGAGCTTGTTCGAGAGTATCAGAGACGACGAGAGTAGTGCTAATCAATCCTTTGGTAGAGGAATATCTGAAAAAGCATTCGGAGAGGATAACAAAGAGTCGACAGGAGTTGAAGATCTATCAAGAAGGAAAAAAGTGTCTAGAACTAGACTAAAAGGTAGTTATATAAGTGCAGCTTGCAGGTTTCAATAATATGTGAAATCAGCGTAAGAATCTTCAAGCTTTTCTTTTATTTGCAGGGACACTTGAGTCTACAACAAAAGAAGCATCTAGAGGGAAGGCTACGGAAAAATCTTCAAATGAGGTTAGAATGTTTTCCATTCATCCTATGATTTTAATTACTGAATGACACAACATATATAGCATCATCATATTGACGATACTTGATTCTAGATTCCATGTTCTTGGTGTTATGTTATTTAAATGATGTATGGGGGACATTTATGTTAGACATGTTTTGTTATGCTGCTTCCTTTTGCTTACTTATTTACATGCTGCTCACCCAAGCCCTTCTATTCCTGGGTGACCTTGCGACCAGTAACAAGTTTTTACCGTCTTCTATATTGTGGTAACTACGAATTTTTCTGGGGTAAGTGTAATGCGTCGTCGTTGCTCAGATTGTTTGATAACTTACAGGACTGGAGGCTAGTTTGATGGTAGGATCAAGAGTCCTACTAGGTAGATAACTTCAAAGCAATGGCATGAGTTCTGAAAAGGAAAAGAAAGTAGAGTTGGTACAGTTTTTAGATAAGTGGTTAACCAAAATGAGATCTTCCCAAATAGTCCAGTTTCTTGACTAGGACTCACCCCGTTAGAAGAAGATCCAAGCGCAGAAGCAATAATAAGAAAAATAGGAAACAAATAATAGTTTCCGAAAGACCGATGCCATGTTTTGGTTCATAGAAAGCGCAAAATCAGTTGTTTACAAATCAACATGAATCATATAAGAACATATATGATCTAAGAACATATTTGATCTATTTTTCATCCTCTAGTAAGAAAAAGGGTTCTTTTTTATAATGTGAGTTATTAGATTCCATGAGTCCTAGTCAAGAAACTGGACTGTTTGGGAAGATCTCATTTCCCTTAACCACTGCCTATCTAGGAGATTTAATAGCTTCTTGAAGTCATTTTTTGTCTCTGGTCATGGATACAGATGCTTGTCACTTTGATTTGCCTACTCATTCAAAAGAATAACTCAAAGAGCAATATGTCAGAGTCAATAAACTATATTGCAGGCGAACTTCTTTATGAAGCTCGAGGAAATCTCTTAGGAATTCTTCCTTGTTACAGTATCTGTGAAGCATGCTTGTCTTACTCGTCCTCTTTTCCTTTCTTCATAGAGAACAACATGTTAGTTGAGATTGTGCATTGTATTGTTTGATACCCATGTCACTCTGAAAGGGGTTTTTATTATTTGAAAAGGATACCGTCAAGTATTGTTTACTGAGATATAGGTTTTGGGATGTAGATGGTGTTGTATAGCGAGGAGCAGATATGGGAAAAGATGGAGGCGTTAAGGAAAATAGTAGGATACAGTGTTGCTAGGAGCACGACATATTCCGAAGAATTGAAGTCTCTCTATATGTTTATGGGTGTGGAACTGCCGACATCCATGTTGGAGAAAGAGAATCAAGAGATTGCACATGTTAGTGAGAGACTTTGGGTTCTTATGTCTGTTATTGGAATAAAATGAGAGTTTTTTTTTTGCTTTCAATCTTAGCTTCAAGACTCAATGTTTCTTCTGTTTTAAATAAGTAATGACACATACCAGTTAAGAGATGTTTTTTACTCGAGGTGTTGGAAAAATTAAGAGATGAACAGCAGAGACACACACACATACAACAGATCTTGGAGAGAAAAAAATACGAGAAGATCAAGATTCAGAAGAGTCTGATTTAAACGATCAATGTCTCTTCCAAAATACCATTCAATATCAGAACGAAATTCCTAAAAATAGATAACCAGAAAGACCAATAATATCAATAACAATTTTTTTTTTTGGGTTTATTTGTGCAACAGGCACAATGAATAAGCATTTTCTGATCAAAGCCCACAAGCCATGAACTAGTTTTGTTTCTTGTTGTCTCAGTACAAACTTTGTTCCCAAATTTCCAACAAGAATATTGCACACCAAGAGAAAGAACAAGCCAAATGAGAGTTAAGACTTAGGCAATACTTCCATAGTCCATCCTTCCATGAGACGTCGAAGGAACATTCGGGACATGATGGTTGTTAGTCCTACGTCCTCCTGCAGGACACCGTCATTTAAAGTCTACGACCAATCATTGTTTGTATAAAGAATAACGTTCTAGAGAAAGTTAAGAGCGAAATAAAGTACCCCAAGGGACACCATTGGTATATGAGCTACTTCTGGGTGAGCGTTGACCCCCAGAAGTATTGTTGGACGGAGGAAGCTGTGCATTGATGTGATTCCGATCCATCGCCCTTCCAGCATTTGTTCTCCCACGATTGACCCGTTGAGGCTGCTGCCCTAAGCGACTTGGAGAATTCTGAGAGACATGAGGAGTGAATTGTGATCCTGGCATAAGTTGGCCAAATCTGGCATGAGGATCATTACTTGGAGGGCTGCCAATCTCTACTTGCGAAAAGGCTTGACTGTGAACATATCTCCTGAAAGTAGATTCAAAGTTACAAGCAATTAAGTCAATCAGATCCATCAAGAGTGAAACGATAAAGCACATTAAATGATTTGCATGAGTAGAAAAGCAAATTTCCCTATCAGAGCAAGTTCAAGTGATAAACAATAGATCCTGTCTGGAACTTGCAAGTATTCCGCTTCCTTTCTACTGGTTCATTGAATGTAAAATGTGTTTTTCTTTTACACTTCTCAATTGCGTCAGATACACATCCACCAAGAATAAGTCTTGTACAACGGTTTCGCACAGTAGTGTCTACCTTTACTACTAGAATATAGATCCGTCCTATCAAGATGCCTAATGTGCACAAAGCTACAATCACGAATACAGGATGCATCAATATCATGTATGGGAGTTTCTGCATTTCTGAATCCTAGCTCGAAATCCCTGGTATAATATAGCTCTGATACTCAAGCTACAACATCGTTTGTCCTGATAAGTTAGTACTTATGAAAGATGTAAGATCTTAATATCACCCAATTTATTGGTGGGTGTATATGTTCGCGCATTCGAACAAACCTTCAACCAAAAAAAAAAAAGTTGAAGCATACTTTCCGCAGGTTATCTTGTAGGTTACCTTTGGGTTGCCAGATTTGATGATGAGGCCGAGGCATTACTGTTGAACCTTCTGGAACTGGAGGCATCTGTTGAACCAAGTTGCATGCTTGTGCTGAATGCATTAGCAATGACACTCTCATCTGAGCCATCTTCTTGTAGAAGCAATTCATCACTGTGCATGTAAAAAAATTGTGCACATTAGAACTTCCAATTAAAGGATTGGAGGTAAACATGCATCTTATGTGACTGTAAATATCAGATGAAAAGATGTTAATATCTTTCAGCTGAAATAACATTAGTAACAACATATGATCGCCCATTCAAATGGACACTATAACGTGACTGGTTCTAGATAACACTCCACTGATCGATTTTGATGCAGCTTCGATGCCCATACGTTTTTCTAAGTTTAAAACCAACTACCAGTTAACAGTGGTGAGAAATCAGAGGCTGTGACATGCATGTTTCAATATTGTTCGAACTAAGGCAATACAGAAGCACACATCACTTATATTCTGTATAAACCTACCACATACACACAACATACATGCACAGAAAATACCTTGGCATTCTATATAACCGGTAAAGTATAGAATACATTGTTTACTTGCCTGTAATTTGGGTCCCAGTCTCCTGGATCAGGCACTGATAAGGTATTATCCGGATTTTCGAGATGGGGTCCACTACTGGAAGGGTTATACATATTGGAGCGAAGGGATGAGCTGGAAATGTTATGTGTAGAGTACCCCTCATTTTGATAAAAATTATCGACACCATGCCCTTGCGCTTGTGATAAGGAAGATTCCTGAGACTGAGAACCTCCAGAATATCCAACGCTTTTTCTTCGGTTGAACTGACTGAATGCAGCCATTTTTCCTAAAGGAGACCCGTGACAGCTGTTTCTTACTGGAGATGTCGGACCATGGTGTCCAGGAGAGCCAGCAAAAAATTGATTATTTGTATTAGGTGGAGTAAACTGTGACGGACTAGTGCCAAGGGGTAACGGAGCAAAATTTCCAGCGGATGGACTTGTAACAAGGCCATTTCCATGTGGGTAATGCATAACCCTACGTCTGGCATCAGGACTAGTTCCAAGCATTGGGACACCACCTTTGTTTTGCATGTATAGGCCAGTATGATTCACAGGAGAATAATAGGCAAACATATTGCCGTTCTCGCCATAGCTCCCATAGCTATTTCCCTGAATAGTTCCATCATTGTAGCTACCATAGCTTCCTATACTCCCGTAACTATTTGGATGTGAATAAGGTATCATCTGAAAATGGGGACTATTTTGCATGGGCATTCTGGTTATCCCTGATACCTATCAGAGAAATAAACACTAAAAAGGAAGTCCACAAAATACTTGTAGGTGTTACAAATACTTTAAAGAGACAGAGTCATACATGAGGTGAAAGACCAGCGGCGAACCAGTGCCCTCCACCTGGATGATGGTCCACTTTGATATTTTGAGCAACATGCTATAAGGAAAACGGAAAGATAACACAAACAGATTCAGTGAAAATAGAAAAAATTTCACACGTCCCTCCACAGGAAGGAATCTCATTTTTCTTTAACCAATTTTCTGCAAGAACTTCTAAAAGAAGATTGAAATATCCAAAAAATGTGCCAGAAGAAAAAGCATCTTCAATCCATCTCATGATTGTTTGGTTCAGAAAATGGTGAAATACAACTATCATTGGTATGACAATAAGGCCACACAAGAAGTTTGAGACCTGGGAAGGAATTTCATCTGACTCACCACATGAGGTGTTTCTGGAGGAGGGTTGTATGGGCACGTAAAAGGTTCCCCAGTGATAAAAGGGTGCTTCGCAGCCTAAGAAATGAAAAGTAGATGCGTATCCATTATCAGTAGCAATATAATATGACGCCTTTAAAACTAGATATACAGATGACGTTAGCCAGGAAATTCAATACCTGAAAAGGTGACCAACGTTTTGCTGGATCAAATTCAACAAGTCCTCTCAGAAAGTCAATAAGAGCTAACCGGATCTGAGTTTCTGTGATAGTTCATGAAAAACAAAACACCATGGAAGATAGTCCAGTGATTATCCGTGGAAACTTAAGCACATTAGAGAATCCTGACTTTACCTTTGACTACATCGTCTTCAGGCAAGTTTATCTTGTAAGGATAGCCTTTAACAATTTCTTCAAGGTTTTTATGGCGGAAGTACTCTTTCCCAATTTCTGGCTTTTTCTTTTCTCTCTGAATTTAAAAGTAAAGAACGGCACGAGTTATCTAGAGAAAAGATTACCAAAGTCAAACTTAATGACTATCTACGAATAAAATTAATTTCCTCAGGTAACAATCTAACCCGTCTTTGTTCACTGATAGTATTATCTTCCTGAGTTTTCAATACTCATTTTTATATCATTGTTTGTCACAGATGTAAAGCAAGAATTACTTACAGCTTCAAATTCTTCTTCCGTCAATGCCATATAAGCACTTTTGAGACCACCACCATAAGTTCCACCATTCCCCAAATTGTGGACACTCCCAACACATTTAAAGAATTTATTCGTATTTTCTGCTTCCTTGAGCACATAATCAGGTGGTTGCTTGCTGAAAACAATTTGACATAATATTGAATCACAACATAAAATAGGGCAGAGGCAGAATAAGAGAAGTTCCTGGTTCCTAGATATCTCGACACTAAAAAAGGACGCGACAATTGCATAAACATTGAGAAGCTAAAATAAGGACTGCTGAAGACAAAGGGCAATGAAAGAATGACGGTAAGCACCAAGAGAAGGCTAACACCATAAAATAACCGCTACTAGTAAATAAATGATTGCATGAGGACGAGTATTTTGACTTGACCATCTAGGGTGCAGACACCCAAAAAATCCCTGAACACTACATATATAGGCTGATTACTCATTTATCAAGTTCATAATAAAAGATCATACCCCAGTATTTCAATCATCCGCTTCAAGATATCAAATTCTGAAGCTCCTGGAAACAGTGGCAATCCAAGAAAGAGCTCGGCGACAATGCAGCCAAAAGACCACATATCGATAGCTGTAGTATATCTATAGAGTGGTTAAGCCTCAACATAGAATCTCAAAATACTTTAAGATATCATTATCATTTACTATAGGAAACAAAAAGCAAATAACTTTTGTTTGCAGTAAATTAGTGCGGGATAGGAAAGTAACGAAGTGCTAAAGTTGCCGCAAGTGGGTTACTGATATCAATAAGAGTCACAGACCATACGATATAATGTGAATATATGCTAAGCAAGTAAATCTCCGAAGACAGCGAACATTGCAGTACCAACGACAATGATAACATTTTCTTAGTTTATTATAATTAAACTAAAAGGATACCGGTACCCAAGTAAAACTTCGGGCGATCTGTAGTAACGACTCTGTAGAAAAATGAATTAGGTAACTTGATTCAATAGCTTGGTTTGAAAAAATAGAGTAGACAGATACAGAGGAAGCAAGAAGAACCTGAATATATGAGTAAATAGTCTTAACTTCCATGCACGCTGATCCAAAGTCGATTATCTTAATTTCAGTTGGCTTCACG